AGTGCACACACAGCACACAAACATGTTGACGAAAGGCATGCTGCTTCATTCAACGGTACGAACAATGACAACAACGCGGGCGCTACTCGGATGTAAAATGAATCAGCACACAATTTTCGCGCTATTCTTCCACGCGTGTGTGTGTGTGTGTGCGCGCGCTTCTCTGCTCAGCTCTTTCTTCGCATGCGAAATCATTTTGTATGGATTTTAAGTTTTTCGTCATATACCCTATTTTTTTTTTGTTTCTTCCAACGCTTTTGCCTATCTTTTCTATGCTGTTTTCAGTCAGTTAGATGAATTCATGCTTCTGTGAGCATAATGACTAGAAAATGTATTCGTCGTCGTCGCAATCGTTTGTCTTTTTCATCTCACATGTTGTATTACTAACACACACCGCTTTAAGACCATTTCATTTGGCTTGCATGCCGAAATGGGTAAAACACACCAGCCAATCCATGTTCATTACATAGATTTCGTGGTTTATTTTCTTTTCAATTTTTTTTTTCTCTCTTCTGTCTTTTCTTCGCTCGTCTATTTTTCCGCGCACAAATGCAAAAATGGAACTACGATTTCAACATATAATTGGAATTTTGATGGTTTGAAAACAACACAATTCAGTGTTCGACTGTCGAGCAATGTGCAAAGACCTAAAATGTTTTCTAAACACATCGTCACTCTAAGTACCATTCTCTTGGAGTAAATTTTCCTGAAGAATCAAATAGATTTTTTGCTATTTTGGCAAAAAGAAACATAAACAAAATATTCAATTTGAAAGATTCGTTTGAAGAACGAGAGCAAAAAATGTCCTCCGAAGTAACATATTCAACGAAAAGCTATCGAAATGATTGGATATCACAGTTTGGATTATATCGGTAATAATTGAGATTAATATCGTTTTGATTATCTGCAAACTTCTGTTTGGTGATTGATTTTTTGTTTATTTTTTACCTTTGTTTCTAAATTCCAGTTATGAGAGTGCTACCTCGCCAAAACGTGTCGAGTATGAACGACGAAGCCGGCTAGTTTTACGAATAGTTTTTGTGCTTGGTGCTACTCTGTTTCTCGCACTTTTAGTAAGCAATAGATAATTAATCAATTTGTGCTCACATCAAACCTATGACAACAAAATTGGTTTTCTCTTCCATTTGCTAAACGACCTTGTAGATTTTTTACATTGCTGTTCATATGGACAACTATAATGAAACGGATCGAATGATATTATTAAAAAAATTGGAACCGGATTCGGTTGAACCGGGCTACATAAATCCCTTGACAACGGTTTTCTATCCGGACGATCAGATTTCATCGTATCAACACACATTGTCAAGTACAACGCCTATGTCAGGTAAAGCTGCATCAGAAAATGCGACCAATTCAATTCCATTTTTTGAAATTGGGGAAGAAAGTTCAGTGAAAAATGTTCCAACAGCGATTACATGGCATCCATCCAATCACAAACGACACTACAGCAATGTGTATCGCAATCGAAATGACATCGAGATCGAAGATGATTCCCAAAGAAAGTCGATAATCAGCACGATGACACCGCAAAAACGAATGTTCTTCCCGGATGAAGATTTCGAGTATGTTGATTCGTATCACAATGTGAACAGCATTGAGGATATTTTGAGTCAAAACAACAACGAAAATGGGAATCTCAGTGATGAAACGAGATACAATTCACCATCGATGCCGTTTTCGCGTCGAATGAAAGTTGAGGGGATTTATCGGCGTGAAAAGATGAAACGTGAACACTTGAGTGCAATGGAAAGTGAACAATTTAGTTCAGTGTATGAAGAAAATGCCCAGAAGAAGGATCCATTTTCGAAATTCAAACCATCAAAACCGAGCGATGTTAATCTGTTGGCTTCGAATATGATGAAGTATAAACAGTACACTTATCATAAACCACGTCCATTAACCACAGCCACGACATTGAATCACTACTACGAGGATTACTATGGCAGTCAAGATCCGAATATTATTTACCATCAAATTGTCGCAGCAAACGCGAAGAATCGTGATGCTTCGCTGAGAAATGGACGATACGAAAAACCGTCGCAGAATAATAAACCCTTCAGTTTGATGTTGGATGTGTATCCAATGCCTGAAGAAACAGGAGTAACATTGCATTCAGCGCAAGGTGTATCGTCATCGACTCGTGTCACTCCGTACAATCAATTCCGACGACCAGTCTATCCGGTCAATTCGCATGCGATAAATCATAATTTACAATATAGCAAAGAAAACCCGTTTTATAATCATCTAAAGTTTCCTCAGTTGCAACAACAATATCCATACCAGCGAACGCATTATGTCACAAAAGACGGTTTCTATCGGAATTATATAACAAATCGCATGAATACGAATGCGTATCGATCGCTTCTGAAAGCATCATCACCGTTACCAATTGATTTGCCAACTGAAGAAGGTCCAAGCCAAATAACCGTTCATCTAAATCTGTATCCGGATCGAAAGAAATATCAAACACGCAACGTTAAAATCATCGAAACTGGCAGCGCTACGGCTGACCCAGTCACAGACTCTTCGTTGTTGTGGAAACGATTGCATCAGCATGAAAATACAACGAAAGACGATTCAATCGAAGCTCGACCACCACGAAAGACCTATATTCCACCATTTTCAGCGATTAAAATCAATGCACTCCAACATCCATTCGATTTGAATGGCACGAGCGCATCGCATCAATCGGAGTCACCCGATAAATCAGCATCAGTGTCAGCCGAATATGATATGGTAGCATTTGATTCGAAAAAAATCATACCGAATATTAAAACCATGAATATAATACCACCGGCCCATTCATTCATACCAACATCACCGTATTTTAACGAATTTTCACCGACCATTTCAACAGAGCAACCATCCACGTTGCCCAGTCAGTTCGATTCGACAATGTCAAGTTCATTATACACTTCATTCGCCGACAACCACTTTCCATTCTTCAGCACAAGCAGCCCATTCGAAACGACGGCTGTGACCGAAGTGCTCAACGAAAGTGAATCGGATCAACCGACTACCATACATGACAACAACACGATTCGCTTTCCAGATCATTGAGACGATGGATGACACACGGCAACGAACACCGCGAGTCTGACTTAGCGATCAACGCGATTAGTTATATAGAAGACGTTTTTTTTTTTGCTTGTTGAATAATTAGCTAATACGATGATTTATTACCTATTTCTTGCACAATACTCATGATATGTATACAATGTCAACACCCAAGAGAGAACAAAAACAGTCATGCCACTTGAGCACATTTGTTGAATAAATGTATTTATTTTTATATCACATCAATGTTTTTTGATGATTTTGAGTGAATATCTAACGAATTCTTTTCTTTCAAATTGTACTACTCGAATTATATTCATTTACATCTTAAGCGTCTATCAGAAGGTAAGAAATGTTGCTTTGGATTAACTACAGTGAGACCAAAAAAATGAGATCCACTGATGGCAAATGTTTTTCGATAAAGCATAGTTTTGAATTGCCTATTTTAAGGAGATTTTATATGATGCGCTAAACTTTTATGATCAATTCAAGTTCCGTCGCATCTTTTGTGATTCATTTCTAGGCTTTTTTGTAAAGGATTGTTATGGTGATACCATAATAGTGTTTGTAGAATTGATTGTTGACATAATATGTTATCGATTTTTGATTTACAGCCGTCATGTACTAATTGAATTATGATTATTATTTATGTTTGCATTAAACTCAAAAAAAGAACGAATTTAAGCCGTGAATCCATTTGGAAATAGATCGTTCATTTACCTGCCTTCGATTTTGTCCGGGCCCGTTTCGACTGCATCGAACAATTCAAATTAGTATTATTGTCAGGCAGAAAGAAAATTGCGTCTTTGTTAACCAAATGATGAATATCAACATACAGAATAACCACACGTTGACTTGAAGTAATTTTAATGTGAATTTGTTTTTATGTTTTCGTTTCAGAAAGGGCCTTGTTCAATGCTTCCAGGAGACAATAATACTAATTTGAAATGATATTAGACATACTCGACTTGAAGGCTCCAACCATCAATTGACACGACCGACAATCACATTACACAGAAAAGACAAAAACGAGAAAAAAAGAGAGAGAGAGACACACATGGAAAAAAATATTCTCAGCGGATGTCATACCGAAATATTCACACTTTGAGATGAGCGATAAAATTAATTTGAACACACAAAAAACATATGAAGAAATACAACAAGCGTACATTTGAATACGGATCACCTCTTTCAAAATAAATCAGTTATCGTTTGTTAATGTTGCTTTAATTTGCGACTTTTTTCACATTTTGTTTTTCCTGCAACAAGTTCGTGGCTAATGTGATGACTATGTGAATTTGGTTTGCTTCATTCATTTCATTGTTTTATATAATTTGATCAATCACAAATCACTACCGTATGCATTCATTCAATCCCTTTAGGATCCGTTCTGTTGTTGCTGCTGCTGCTTCACACAGAATTACACACACTTGATATCTAATTAAATATTTGATGTACGTCAATAAATATAAACATTATAGCAAAACGTTGGTAAATTCAACACACAAAAATGTGTGCTTGCGTAATTTTTTTAATGAAAATGCTTCATTCTAAAACGAAAGACGTTACTGAATAGTCGTAAATATCTTTTTGGTGTCAATTTTGAATTTAAAAGTGGGTGCTATATTTCTTATATTCGAATTCGAAGGATTTGGTTTGACTGTCAGAGCCATCTATTGCGAATTGCCACCAGTACTTGAAATCTCAAATAATTGCCGTCGGTATTTTTTAAAAAAAAATGCGTTTGAATATTCAATTGGAATCCTCCACACACCGTTCGTATTAAATTAATAAAGCGAATCAAACAAAATCATGTATTCAATTCGAATATTTTAAACACTTCGTCTTTGTGAATTATTTCCAGTGTGTTCCTTGCACTGCAAACTGGTCCACTCATTTCACTTGTTTCATCGTCACACGTCAATGTGACATTTCCAAAACGAAAACATTTGCCTTATTTACATTGTTTACATTGAAAGAGTCGAAAGACGACATTTTCTAAACCATTTCATCATAATTAATATCGATATCATATCGATTCGTTTTTAATCTATTAGCGCAATCGGCACAGGGTAATAAATATCATGGTTTGCATAGTTTAATTTTTCATTGCAAGTTTTCTTTGTTTTCGATCTTTAGTGCCAAACCGTGATGTCTATCTCCAATCACAACACATTGTTACAGAATATCGAAAAGCGATACCTAAATCCGGATGGAGCCGATGTATGGTTCATTTTTGATGGTGAACGAATTCCAGGCCACCGAATCATCCTAGCATCGAGCCCATGGCTAGAGAATATGTTTTTTGGATCGCTAACCGAAAGCGGTGAAGTGAATATGAACAATTCAAATGTGTCATCCAGATCGTTTAAGGAATTTCTACGATATGTCTACACGGGCAAAGCGAATCTAACCATGGATAATATTAGAGAGATGATGTATTTGGCCGATGAATCATTAGATCAGGAAATTTTCGATGAATGTGAAAATTTTTTGATAAAAGAAATAACCGTTGACAACATATTTTCTGTATATCAATTGGCTTTGCGGCATGAGAGAGCCGGTCGCTTGAAAACCGTTTGCGAAGAAGAAATCTGCGTGAATGCTGAAACCACATTCAAATCGGCCAGTTTCGAGCAAATTCAATATGATTTCCTAGAAAATATTCTGAAATGTGATTCCTTGGTGTGCGAAGAAAAGGATATTTTTGATGCATGCATCGGATGGGCGAAAGCTGCTTGCAGACGGAACGGAATTGATCAACACAATCCGTTGAATGTACGAGCTCAAGTTGGTGAATCACTTTATCAAATTCGGTTTGGTTCAATGACGATCGGCAATGCGGCCACTTGCATCACATCATGCCCGGGACTATTTTCTGCAGATGAACTACAAGAAATAATGTGCTTGGTTGGTCACAAAAATTATTCCGGAGTAACGCGTTTCAATTGGACACCACGGTATTTCAGCTTGAAGCGTGATGCAAGTCATGAGTTGATGTGTAACCGTTATTCCGGCTTTAGATCTAATCATGATTATTATTATTATTCATTTCATAAAACCGAATTCCACAAATTTACTTGTAACCGGCGCGTCTTGCTGAAGGGATTCACTTGCGAATGCGATCAGCGCGTAAGGAAGACAGCTTCTTACACCATCGTTGAAATGAATTCCGTAGAAGATTCCAATATTCGTTGCAATGAACGAAAGCCTTTAGAGTTTTTTGATGAAGTCAAACGTAGTAAATTTTCATACTCAAGTCGACAAGGTCAATGTATTGATATTATCCATCACAAATCATACAAAGCAAGTGTTAAACTGAATAATGCGATTTTGATCAGACCTGGCTACACTTACACGATGAATATTGAATTCGAAAAGGAACCACAGAATCTACGACGCAGATGCTTCTTCAAAAATAAAGTTCGGGTTGATCATGACATTGTGTTTCAGTTTTACGAATCAAAAGGAATTGTTTCCTCAATCATGTTAAGTCGCTTAGACAATCGAAAATACTTTCGCAAGATCGTTCATAATCCCATGATGTGGTTTAAATTGATTTTGGTGCTTTTAGTGATAGCTTACCTAATACAATATGATATCAGTCAACCGAATTCAAAACTTGTCCATTTGTGGCATTTCATAAAAAGCCTTTTCAAAAAATCGTAAACGTAGTGTGTGAAAACACACTGAAAATGACGTGCATTTAATGCAGTTAAATCAATTGTTTATGCCTTTTTACTGAATTATCATTATAATTCATTAAATATATGTATTGAAATAAGAGAGAGAGAGAGAGAGAGAGAGAGTGATTCTCTTTGAATATTTTGATAAACTACTCCTTGAAAGTCTTTACAATAGGTGTTGAAATAATATTGACCATAATTTTACTGGGCTTTCCAAATATACATTTTTCGTACAACTTATACGTTATAAAATGATATAAAGCAAATTGATACGCGATTCTATCTTCTAACCATTTGTTGACATTTATTTCTTCGTCTTTTGAATTGATATGTTCAAATAAAAAGACATTTACTACGAAATATTTTCATTATGAAGCTCTTCGACAAATTAAAATATCGAAAATGAGATTTGATACAAATGAACCTCTTCATTTTTCGATATTTCATTCACACCATCTTGAGTCGAAGCGACAGAGTTTGTTTTAATAATTTTCTTTTTAACTTTACATTTTTTCTATGAAGTTTTGAATAAAATCTTTTTTTTAGTTTAAAATAAATTGAAAAGTATTATTTTATGATTTCTGTGTTTAGGAAGAATATTCTCTGTGACAAGAATTTTGAATGAGAAAAATTGAAATGAACTTAATTGAATATTCGAATTCGGATTTTGAAAGAATTGTCGACGGAAATAAAAAAATACATACTTAGTATGACTCCTTTGAATAAAATTGGGTAAAAATGAATTTAATCGATTAACGCCCTCTGTTATGTGGTTTGTTTAATATTTACAAGTCAAAAGTTATCCCAGTTTATGAAATAAATGCTTTCATACACTCATAAATGGAACCTTTTATTTGAATTTAATTTTGATATTTCTATTGCATCGCCGAAGATTGTATCAGCCGATTTGGAGCTGATTGTAATGGTTGGTGGACCAAGCACAGGTAAATCAAAAGAAAATCTCATTGTTTTTCGGATTGTGACTAGTGCATTTTCTCTTTGTGTTGCAGGCAAGAGTCGTTTTTGCAAGAATCATTGGGAAGGCGAAAGCTTTGAAATCGTTAGCTGAGACATGCTTGGTTCTTGGCAAAAATGCGTTGATCGTGTGAACCCAAAAACTAGACGCAAAATTCACTTCTGTTGAAAATTCAAATAAAATCAAAAGAGTTAGAATTTCCGTTGTTGTTTTTTTTTATTTCATATTTTCGATTTTATAAAGAAGAGACATTCTTTGAAATCATGTTTAGTCTTTCCTGGTGGCGGCCTTCTTGGGTTTTGGTGCCCGTTGTGATCTCAACAAAGCGCTAGCACGGTGAACAGCAGCATGTAATCGGAAGAAAAAACAGAAACAAAAGAAATTGTCAACGTATCAGCGATCGCATTCAAACGCGGCAAATGAGTGTGTCACTCAGTGAGGTTGGATCATCAAAATAAGTACAGCGATCTTAAGAGAGTCATCATTAAACACAATTGTTTTTCTTTTTTGAGTATAAACAAATGAAAAGTATCGGATGATTTCTTCAATTTACCTGCTTGAGGTCGTTGCGGTAGTGGTTGTGGACCAAAGTGTTTCGCAACTTCTTCAATGAACTGCATTTATCTTTGTTGATCCTTACAGAATTTCCGATGATTTTTCATTCTACTTTTAATTGACAGGATCATAGCCAACGGTGTGTCTTTTTCAAGAGAATTCGAATATATTAATTTCGACAACAATAGTTTGCTTGAATCGGAACAATTGCTCCAATGTTTCAACGTTTTACTTAAGTAAAATGTTTCTCTGGATATTATCAATTGAAGTTAAAATAATAAAATCAGAGACTGAAATTTTCGGGATCTTCCTCTTCTTCTTATTGTGAAATTCAATTTTATTTTGAAAACGCAATCTGACTTCTAAAATTTTTCTAGCCTGAAATAACTAAAAATTGATCTAAAAATTGTTTCAGGATGAAAATTTTTAAAAGTCACATTGCGTTTTCAAAATAAAATTGAATTTCACAATAAGAAGAAGAGGAAGATCCCGAAAATTTCAGTCTCTGAATAAAATGTTAAGTCTTGCAATAAGCTATTTATTCCAGCACAAATCATAGCAATCAATGTACGGAAAGCTTCATTTTCAATGCAACTATAAAATGCACCATCATGCATCTTTTAAACGTATCAATTCATCATAAATTGTATACAAAACGATTAGCTAGTATTCAAGTTGTGAATAACCAACGAATTTTACTGCTGGTGTTATAAGTTGTTATTTTCTTGAAGCATACACATTATTGCCTAACTTAGACTATGAAGAAAATTATTAATAGCCAAAGAAGTTCGGAAGGTTTAATATTACGAACATATTTTACCACATCATTAGCGAATATGTTAAGATTGTGTTTTGGTTCTATGTAGAATATTTCAATAAAACACATCTTTTGAATTGTGCAATTTGATATATTTGTGAAATAGTTGAAAATAATTGTTCAGCTCAATATATTGCCACAAATGTGTGATGCTACAGCGAATAAATGAATTCCATTTTTTCAATGGCAAGAAATTTAGCTGTGTGCCCATCGAAATGATAGTATTTGTCTAAATCACTGGTACACACTTCGGGCGCATATTTTTCATTCTTGAAATACTTTCCAAGACCGATCAACTCTAGGCCAATGGGAGTTTTTTCCACGTTTTCTGGAACCGTCGGAGTTCTGATGTTTGGTGGTTCGACTAATTTGATTTTCCACATAGCATACGGACTAATAAAGTAAGAATTTTCTCTGATTTTGCGGTACACCTCGTTGACTCCCATCGGTTTTCCATCTGGACCTTTACTCATCATATATTCGAGAAGAATGTTTTCGTCCACTGAAACGTAATAGAATCGATCTCTGCATTTGTAGTAACCGTTACCTATCATTTCTATCATTATGTTAAAATAACCGAGGTATGAATCCAATTCGGCTTGCATTTGCGCATCTGAAGCTACGAATTTAAGTTCGATATCTTTGAATTTTACAGCGCTCACTTTCAGTCCAGTTCTAATATCAGAACGTATGATTATATGTTCGCCACGTAGAAGCTTTTTCATGTCATGTTGAATATCGCTAGCCTGCCATCTGTAAAATGGAGTCTTGCCATGGACACCAAAAGGAACATCTTTGAATACTTCACTATCGTATTTGCCCAACGTAACCTCTCCACGTATTATTAAATTCCTTATGTGATCAATTTGTTTGTCAATGATGTCAATCAATGATGCGGTGTCATTGGGCTTTAAATCAGTTGGAAGATCGAAAACGGATAAATGATATTGGGCAAACGGAAACTGTTGCTGCTTAAACGCATGTATTGCCAATTCATGCTGTTCCAATATTAGACTGGATTGGATCACTTTCTCTAAACCCAAAACAGCCCTATTTAGCGTAGGATCTTTAATGTTTGGTTTTCCACCTTCAAGCATTTTGCCGATATAAGTGGCGAAGGTGGCTTTATCATTGTAAGAGTCAATACGATCGTAAACATTAATCAAAACGGTCATGCTCTCGTCTATCTTCTCAAAGCTGCGTCTTAAATTGGTTTCTACAGTGGTACCCTCGGACACGTCTGTGAACTCAAATTTCATCTCTTTTAGTTTACTTTGTATTTTCCACTTTGTTATATCTAATTGAACATGTGATTGATCTCCCAAGCTCTTAAAAACGCTTTTCATGAATTCAAAAACTTGGCTTAACATCGGAATCAGAACTTCCAAAATGTAATCACGCAGTTGAATTAACCCTTCAATTCTCCCTTTAACTTCTTCGAATGCCGTATCAACTTCTGCAATGTTTGCTAGGTCTCCTCGAATTTGATGATAAAAATCAAGTCCCGCTGCAGCGACTCCAAGAATTTGTCCACTAATATCACTGACTTTGTCCCATGCACTAGTATTCCCACTAGACGTTTGATTGAAAACTTGACGCAAATTCTTGCGCTCCTTTATAATTGTAAGGGGATTTTTAATACCACCACTATTCAATTCTGCGTTTACTCTCGATTTCACGTTTGCTATGTGTTGTATTAATTTAGGATCATTCAAATTCTCCTTAGCTATCACTGCACTTATATCATCTAGTTGCATTTTGAATAATCTAGCCTCTTCCGACAATTTACTATTGACTTTAGTAATAGAATCATTAAGTGACGCTGCAAACTCGCCTAATTTTTTCTCATCATCGTGGTTTCTGTATTGATTGGCTGGATCATATATACCTTCAGCAACGACTACAACTATCCCAATCACTGCCGAGACAGCTAATCCGATTGGTCCAAAAAAAGCTGCAACTACTGCAACCACTTTCAATACACTCATTATTGTATTGAATATCATTGCATTTTGCAGCTGTTTTCGTTTCTTCTTCAGATATTCTATTTCTTGCTCGGCACCCGCTATAGAATCTGCAATTTCTTGCAACAAGCCCTGAATGGATTTATGAATTTCCTCGAAATTATTTTGGATTTCTGGTAGTATATCTGTTTGTATTAAAGCTAGCGCTTCTTCAATTTTGGCGTCCAATGAATTTCTATATTGCGCTCGATATGCTTTCCTATTGGCCTCGAGAGCAAAGTCCCTTTCAATATCTTCAACATTCCGTAACTTTTTGATGCTTTCTTGGATCAATTTTAAATACTCTGGCAAGTTAAGAATTGTAGCTCGGTTTTCATTCGTTTTTAAGGCAACGATTTTGCTAAGACTTGATGTATACAATTTTTTCATTGCATCTCGTTCATCTCCAGACTGGGGCGACAATTTTTTTCCATATTGTAATATACGATCTACCGATGACTTCAAAAATGGCGTAAAATCGATCTTTTGACGTAAACGGAAATATTGATTTTCCATAAGTTGAAAATCATCGATCAGACTAAGGGCAGTGTACAATGAACCAATTTCTTCATTACTTTCGATTCGGAGTAAAAAGTTTTTTGAAGGAATTTCGGTATTATCGATTGCAAAACGATCTCTCAAAAATGCTTTATATTTATTAATAATGAACGAGGTTCCGGCGAATGTTTCATTCTTTGCTGGTTTGAGTCCCACTTCATTAGCACCACGTGCTCCCCTGCTTGCGTTTCTCCAAATCAACCATCCCCTAAACATACTTTTTGTGTCCGGGCTCCCTGGAAAATGTAATTCAATGCCATCTCTGGCCTTACCACCATATCCTCCATCTCCATCTATTCCCTTTTTGCCTGTAAGAGTATGGGAATATACGAAAAGTGTATGAAATGGGCTGTAATTGTGAAAAATCATTTGGGAGTGATTTTATTTTGCCTATTTTTCATTCGTCTAACGAGCTTCACAAGTTTTTTGTTCGCTTTCGACACGAGAATTGACTTTGGTTAAGTTTTTTATTTGATATCAGCTGTTTTGTTATAGAGCTTTGCAATAATATTGGAAACAGTCTATGTTCTCTCACACATTTGATTATTATGAACGGAATAAACTTTGAAATCTCTAGAAAAGGTTCAATTTTCCGCAATTTTAGTTGATATTATGATATAAAAAGACTTTGTGAAGGGTTAGCATATTTAGAAAATTCATTTTTTTGCGATTTTTATGTTTTTTTTTCTTCAACTTTTAACGCTCATATCTCAGAAAGAAAAAAAGAATTTTGCCAGATATTTGGTATGTGTCAAATTTTAGCTCAACCTTACCCATACAAATAAAGTACCTATTTCTCTGGCAACGTTAATATTTGGTTTTTGCGTTAATCCAAACATCTGAAATATTCCAGGCTGGCCACCATTTCCACCAACACCACCCTTTCCTCCGCTGCGACTCGTATATATAGTCCGCATACCTGAAATAATGACGCATTTATTCTCTTCGTCTTGCTGAAAAGCGAAAAAAAGCTTTATTATTAATTGAAATCTGCATTCAATCTCAGCCTTCCCGTTGACAATTTGAATTTTTACTTCAGTGTTTTGTATGAAAACTGGATTGAGATAAGAGATAAGATATTGTCTTCAGCAAACTTTTAGGGAACATGGGGTACTACAACTTTGCTGATGAAACCAAGTCGCTATCTCATATCGGTTTCGCGGAATGCGCAAAAAACCATGAAAAAGCAAACAATACTCGGCTTCTCATTTTTAACAGATTTTGTAGAAGATAAGAGATATCCGACTTCAGCATAGTTGTAGAGCAGTTACTAGTAGCATAGTTGAAAACCTCAATTTTTCTAAAGACACCATCACATTATCTCTTAACACTTACGCGATGCATATAATGTGATTGGCTAGCATGTGAAAAAATCATTGCAGGCATAAATATTTATGCAGATTTTTTCACCGAATGAAATAAATAATAAATAAATAAATAAATATGAACATGAAAATTCAATGGTGTGTAGCTGAAGGTTGAAGCTATCGAATGCTAGTACAAAGTACACTCATGGTGATTTTTTTGGTTTTCAATGCTTTTGTTTGTAATGCAAAGTCGCCTCGGGCGCTGTACGCCTCAAGAATGGACTAAAGGTTAACAAAGCGATACGAAAAAAACTTACATAATTTTTCTCACTACTGCTGAGAGTTTTGTTCATATACTCCAACCCGTCTTCATACTTTTCATCCCGGTTTTTTTTGGGATCCCTCCAACCCGGAGGTAAACAACGAAGCGGATCAATTACAGTTTTTCCGTCTCGATACTAAATAAAACAAATTTGAATTTTTATTCTCCACGTATGCAGTGATTTTCTAAAAATATCAAAGTTCATTCACCGCTGATGTATTGCATGGTTGAATATCTTCGAAAAGTCGTACTTTGATCAACTTACTTTGTCTATTATGAATCCTTCAAGACCCCAGTGTGCCACACACAAGGATAATATTTCTGCAGTGCAACAGCACCGCTGATAATGATCATATAAAGGTGGATCTTCTCCATTCTTTCCGTCTTCTCCTGTAAAAGTTACAAAAATTTATGGGATACGTTATATGCTGTGTGCTTCAAATTCTTAACTTGAGTTCAGTTTGAGAACATGTAAATTTTTGGAACAATGCAACAAACTAATGAAAACGAAACTACAATAATGTGCAGTCAACGTACAGCGAAGTGCGACATAAGAACTAGCACACGCATCAACAACTAATATGCTTTTTATTTATAACATTGTCGTTCTACAGCAACGCCGTTAATTTAAGGTATGAAAGAATTTAGGGTAACCTTTTCCTCCAAATTGGCCCTGACCTCCATCACCACCGTTCACTGATACTTTCAACTGTGCATCATTTATGAATGTGTCACCTACACCTATAAAAGAGCCACCTTGTTGGCCCGGCTCTCCGGGATCTCCATCGGCACCAGTCCCGTCTGACTTCTGTGGTCGATTATTTGGGCTGGATGGATTCCCAGGCTTACCATCCAGAACAATCTTCCTGTTACCAATTACTTCCCACGTTGGAGCAATGAATGAAAAAACAACTTCTTCTCCACTTTTATCAATGTTAGCATCAATCAATAGCTTATTAGCGGCAAATACATGAATAAATTTAGCAGACTTCATACATTCCATGTTGACAACATCACTTATTTTAACATTATGTCCTTTCACAATTAATACACCCGATGAACACGAGGACTCAGTTTTATCATTAAAATTTTTATTGTACACCGATTCCAATGTTTTCAATTTCAGTTGATCCATTGTTTTATCTATCTTGTAATTTGTGCTAATGTTTAAATGTTGTAAAAGGCTTTTAAAGTTATTGTCGTTCATTCCATCAATTTTATATTTAGACGGATCCTTTTGCACGGAATAGTCAGACAAAGCGTTTTGGAAATTCAATGCCGAAGCATAAAAAGTTTGTGTTTCGTTGAAATACTCCGTCGTTTTCGTCCATGCATTTTCCAAAGAAAATGACTTCGATGAATTACTCGATCTTATTAAGAATTCAAGGAGTTGAATATTTTCCAAAATTGCGTTCAAATTCCTGATTGAAACATCGATGTTCAGTGTCTTTACAGTGTCAATAAGCAGCTTACTAAACAAATTCGGTTCAACTGTATTAATTTGGGCCATTCTTTGGAAGATCTTGTTGGATTTTTGGTATAAAATACGCAAATCAGTTGATTGTGATTGCTGCAAATTGAAATCACGTTCAATCTCTGCACCGACATTTGTTGTTGTCACTATTAATTGCTTCTGTACTGAATCGATTAGCTCGGGAAAATGATCAATCGATCCATTTGAGCAAATTAATCCGAAGTCAATGTGTTTTGTGCTAGCGTATTGAATAGAATCATATACAATATTTGAGATTTCATATCTATTAATTCGCATTGATGGTATATCTTCAACAAAACCAACTCGATTTGCCCGTTCAAATACGGTTATTCTCTCAAATTTATCGTCTGCTCTTTTCAGCAATATATCAATGAACTTCGTTTCTTCTGAGTCAGTGTTAAATACACTTTTAATCGATTTCATCAGGTTGGCCATTTCGTCCATTATTAGCTTCCTATCTGTGTTGCCGTTCGCTATGAAATTCATTATCACTAACGCTATCGAATTTTCAAATGCATTTACATTTCCCAGTAACTTTGTAGCGTTTGATACAAATTCCACGAGCTCGTGTTTTTGTTCAGCTGTGGAATTGACTCCACCGTTAAGCACTGAATAGTCAATTGTGAATACGAACTTTACCTTCTTCGAAAACGTCAACACCCTTTGAATGTAATACGAAATTGCTATTTCATGTTTAACATCGATCATATTGCTTAGATCTGGCAATACGTAGTGATCCAGCTGACTTTTTGTGTCCGTTATTAATTTTGGGACGATTAGTGTTGAATGCTTCTCAATTACGCCAAATCTATCAATAATCGTATAATTTCCAGGAGACCTTTCAACCACTTCTAATTCTTCATCAATTAGGAGCAAAGAGAGTAATACTTTATCAGATCCTGTGTTACCAAGTATCAATATAAGCTCTTTTCTCTTAGCCCATTGTAGTGATTTTAAGTTTTCTTCCAGATATTCCAAAATAGGCCCCCTTGCATTTGCACTTGATAGTTCGTTTTGTGGTTGATTATCTTTCAAGAGAATCTTTTTTGCCACGCAATGAACTATAAAAGCCAAAAAGAAACACAAAAACAAATTCCACAATTTATTCATTATGTTTAACATTTCGATTTAGCTTTTCATCACTTTATTTTTAAAATATGACTTTTCAACAATACTTTCATTACTCAAGTAATTGCTGAACACCAACTTGTTCTGCTTATAAATGTTCAGATAAGGTTCTGTTTGATTGAAAGTACTACCAAAATAACTTGACCCTATTACCAGAAGAAGATGTTTGTTTCATATGGTTCGATACAAACACATATCGAGTCCTCTGCGAATGCAGTTGATCATGATTTCGAAGTTCTACTGTATTAAAAAAAATCAATTAAAATTTCAATATAAAATTATACCGGTAGGCGATCAAGGTGATGAAATAATAACTAGCATCAAACGAATTTTAATTACATTTATTCATTTATTTTGAGTGATTTACCATAAATTGAAAAGCTACTTTAAATGACCATAGTAATGAAAATACATTCCAAGTTCTATGACAAATTCATTTTCTACTGGTTCAGAACAACAAAATGCTGCCTTTGATTTCAAACAACGATAGATTCAACTTTCAACATAATTTTACTCTTGGTCTTTAGCGGAACCATATTTGGTTCATATCATAATGATAATTTAAGAAATACTTACGAATGAAATGCCTTTTAAATTCGTAATAATAGTCCCAAAATTTGTATGCTTCGTAGTATGTTGTTTTCAACCCAATCACTATATTCGGCAACATTCGTGAAAATTTCCGGGTATGTTGAAAATATATTTAGAAAACTTATGTATATCCACCATTTATACACTCAAACCTGGCGTAAAAGCACCGAAAATAAAGCGCATTAACATTGGCTGATTTTTTATTATGATCAAATATGAACGTTGAATTTTGGTTTCATTTCGGAATGCTTTGAATAAAATTCATCAAAAAAAATGAAATCGATTAACGCCATCTGTTATGTGGTTTCTTCAATATTCACAAGTCAAAATTTATCACAGTTCATGAAATGAATTCTTCGATACACTCATAAATGGAACCTTTTATTCGAATTTAATTTTTATATTTCAATTCCAATAATAAAATCTCAAAACACGGTATTAGATAAAACAAAATGCATCAACAATTGTTTTTCGACCCACTGGTGATGTTACCTTATACGAAAGTGACAAAGACTTTTGACACTATTTCAAATAATGTCAATACTCAAATTGGATTGCATGACAACAAAGGTTATGGTGAAATCATTGTTCCGCAATATAAACAAATATCAAATCAGTTCGTGATGGAAAAGATGAAGAAAAAACGTTGTTTGTTGAAAAGTGTCCACGAAACGCATCCGCACATCGAAATTTTTGCGGACAATCACACATTTGTCGGCAGAACGCGTGAGTCTCAGGTAGCCGATACGCTGGTGTCAAAGAAACACTTAAAAGTGCGCGCTGATTTCGATAAGAAGTGCGTTATCTTCGAAATACTTGGATTGAACCCGTCGACATTGAATGGCGTGAGTTTGGAAAAAGACAAAGAGCACAGAGCATTCCACGGTGATGTTATTGAAATCATTCCATCGAAATATCCGTATAAGGTTCACTTTGAGCTTGACGAGGTCAAGGAGTCAGAGCCATCAAATAAGCTCGAACGCAAGCGAAAGAGAAGTACCGAAGAACAAGCTGGCACCAATTTACCTTCAGTGAAAAGAATGAAATGGGAAATCGATGTATGCTTGGATTTAAAGCAACAAGCCCCAGGTACACCATGGGAAAGCTACAACAACGGTCAATTACTTGTGTACACATCACCAAATTGCAAACCATCGGAAAAAATCGGTGCCTATGATATGGACGGAACGCTCATCAAAACACAATCAGGCAAAGTGTTTCCCACAAGTGTCGATGACTGGAAATTGGCGTTTGGCACAGTGACCACCACGCTAAAATCGAAGCATTCGAATGGTTTCAAAATGGTGATACTAACGAATCAAGCCGGTGTGACGTCAGGAAAAACCAAAGTGCCGGATATCAAAAAGAAAATCGAAAATATTATAAAAGCATTGGGCGTTCCAGTTCAGGCATTCGTTGCAACCGGTGACAATTGCTTCCGAAAACCATTGACGGGAATGTGGCAAACGTTATGCGATCACAAGAATGGCGATGTCACAGTCGACACAAGCCAAAGCTATTTCGTCGGCGATGCAGCCGGCCGACCAGAGAACAAAGCGATGAAAAAGAAAAAAGACCACTCATCGGTGGATCGATTGATGGCCATGAATTTGTGTTTGGAATTTTTCACACCAGAAGAGCACTTTATGAAAGCATCGCGACAAAATTGGACCAAGCCCGAATTCGATCCCAAAGATTTTCTCAGTCGCTCGGTACAGCTGATCAATAACCCAAAAATGAAGATTGCATCAGTCGATTTGGAGCTGATTGTAATGGTTGGTGGACCAGGCACAGGTAAATCAAAAGAAAATCCCATTGTTTTTCGGATTGTGACTAATTCATTTTTTCTGTTGCAGGCAAGAGTCGTTTTTGCAAGGATCACTTGGAAGGCGATAGCTATGAAATCGTTAGCCGAGACGTGCTTGGTTCTTGGCAAAAATGCGTTGACCGCGTGAACGATTGCCTCAAAACCAGACGTAAAGTTGTGGTGGACAATACAAATGGAGACCGAGAAAGTCGTGCCCGCTACGTGAATGCAGCAAAGAAACACAAGGTTCCGTGTCGTTGTTTCGTGATGACAACCAGCTTCAAGCATGCCGAACACAATATTGCATTCCGCGAACTTACCGACACAAAACATTCAAAAATCAGCAAAATTGTTCTCAACAGTTACAAAAAGAATTTCGTTGAACCATCGAAGGATGAGGGATTCAGCGAAATAGTGCACGTCAATTTTGTGCCAACGTTCAAAGATGAACGAGAAAAATGCCTGTATGAAATGTATTTGTTAGCATCGTAAAAGATTCAATGTTCCTCTCATTTTTGTTTATTTATATCAATGTAATCGTTCGAGCTATTCACTTGTGTTTAAAAAAAATATCAAATAAAACCAAAAGAGTTAGAAATGATGGAATTTCTGTTGTTGTTTTTTTATTTCATATTTTCGATTTTAAAAAGAAGAGACATTCTTTGAAATCATGTTTATTCTTTCTTGGCGGCGGCCTTCTTGGGTTTTGGTGCCCGTTGTGATCTCAACAAAGCGCTAGCACGGCGAACAGCAGCCTGTGATCGGAAGAAAAAACAAAAACAAAAGAATTAATAAAATTGTCAACGTATCAGCGATCGCGTTCAAACGCGGTAAATGAGTGTGTCACTCAGTGAGGTTGGATCATCAAAATAAGTACAGCGATCTTGGTATGTAGCAAATTTGTTAAGAGAGTCATCATTAAACACAATTTTTTTTTCTTTCAATTGAATATAAACGAATGAAAAGTGTCGTATGGTTTTACCTGTTTGAGGTCATTGCGGTAGTGGTTGTGGACCAAAGTGTTTCGCAACTTCTTCAATGAACTGCGTGCACCTTGGTTGAATGCAATTTTGTATGTGTTCTTGGCTGGTTTGTTCTAAATAAAACGGAAGAAACATTTTTTGTTTGCATTAATTACTGAGTTCACATGGCGAAAGAAATAAATATGGTCTCGTTTTCAAATCAATCAGATATCATGGGTGATGAATGTAGTCAGTCATAAACTCTCAGTTAAAATGAACATCATTTTGATAAAACATTGCCAAAATAACCGGCTGACAAGAATATGCGTCAAAATGCACTCACTTCGTTCTTCTTGGTCTTCAAGACAACTGTGAAACCTTTCTTGTCGGTAGCTGGAACAACACCAACGGTTTTCTTTTGCACCAAACCACTGTAACGGAATGAGCTTACATTTTTAAGGTTGTTTGCTTCCTGAAAGTATGAACGAAGGAAAAATCAATATTAGTCATTTGGTTATTTTTCGAATTCAATCAACATAATAAGGGAAAAAATGCCTCAGAGTAGCAAATAATATACTGTAATCACGATTGGATCAGAGATCTTGGTGATAAAAATCAATTCATCATAAAAAATTGTAAACACATCGAAGTGCTTGTCATTTGTGAAGAGCATATTGTAATGCAAAACTTACCGTGCTGAATGGTTTCTTGATCTCGCGTTTTTTCAACAAGTATGAGTTGTTGTTGCGGACGATCAACCAGTTCAAATCAGGTGAGGCCATTTTTTATCCCTGAAATTATGAAGAGAACGAAACAAAAATCGATTAGAAAAAAGAAACACATTGAAAATGCGATACGATGCGTGTGTGGCATAACCTCAAAAAAGTACGATTTTTGTGTGTTACATACATCAGTCATATGGGTGATGAATGTAGTCAATCATAAGCTCTCAGTATTTCATGAACATCATTTGAATGCAACACACGACAGCAAAAAACCATACTTTTTTCTTTCAATTATGCTCTTAAAGTAATTTCAAAATGAAACTTCAATCGAAACAACAACAAAACTGGTTCACATTTCGTCTTGTTTAGCATTCAGATTCCGATGCCGAACAACACAAACACGTGTAAACACACTCGATAAATTTTCACATAAAAAAAAATCTAAATTTCTGGACACATTTCAAAAAATCTCCATGAAATTATTGTGCACAATGGAAAACTGCATTGAATTCAATTGAAATTGCATTTTGGCTCGTTTTTGTCGTGAAGAAATCAATAAACTAAAAAAATTCTCAGTCGGAGAAACTCACCTTAGTGTGATAGTGGCAAATGTCGAAAAGAAAAAGGAAATAGTATGGCGAACTCAAGTCACATTTGACATTTCGTAAATGATGAACGAAAGAAAAATGGCGACACCCAGACGAATCGATGTTCGAAATTCGAAATTGTAGTGTGTATGATGTATTCGAACACTGTTGACAGCTGCTGCTCACTTCGAAAATCCAACACATTCGCTACAGCAACACCGATCCATTTGAATAAACAAGTAAACAAACACGATACAAGAAACGGACCACTTTGGAATTATTTTTCTTCAAGTTTTTGAACATAAGAATGGCAATTACTTTATTTTTAATTCAGTTTCATTTAAAACAACACAAGGAACAAAAGTCAGTAGAATCAACAACAATTTTATCAGAAATATTCTAATCGCTACATCTATCATTCGTTTTTCTCCCTCCGAACAGTTTCCAAATGATTTCACTCGATCCAAATAACTGGTGTTTGTAATTTTTTGTTAAAAATTTCATTAAGAATTGTTCTTTTGATATGTTTGAGCTATTGGAAAGTAAATAAATATGCAAATAGATTTTATTTTGGTTTCTTCTTGTTTTTTCTCTCTCTCTCATTCTGTCCATTTCTTTAATGTAAGTTAGATTAATTGTCTTGATTTAAATAGATTTCGGCACGATTTTCAACAATGTCTTTGACCAGTTTTTCTAGTGAATCACGTGAATCAATCATTTGGCCAACTTTGGATGCAATCTCTTTCGCTAGCCATGGTTTGAAATTTTCATCGGTGTTTAACAGGTGTTTATTCGTAATGTCAGCATCAACGGTGCTTAGTACGTCCGGCAGCAGCGTTGTAACATAGTTATGGAGCAATTTGGCAGCATTAATCTCGTCAATCGTTTGACCATTGTTGTTGTGTTCATCTGTGTCATCCGCATCCATGGTTTGTTCCAGTCTTTTCAATTCGGAGTTTTGCGATTCCTTGAAAGCTAAATAAGTTTCGGTGTCTCTTTGCAGTTCGGCCATTTCTTCTTCTTGCATAAATTCACTGAGCGCTTGTTTCATTGTCATTTCGACCAGAGCGTCTAAAATTGGTTGTACTTCCTCGTCGAAATTGTACAATTCATCGATATCGGTTTCGGTTGCAACATCAATGCCATCCTTGGTCGTTATGTACGGCGCATCCGGTATATCATACAAATACAAATCCGTTTGACACTCCACACTGTAATCAGATGGCTTCACCAGCAACTCTTCGAGATAACGTTCGGTTTGTATCATTTCATGACGTCGACCTTTCACCGGTGGCGGTGTTCCAATCACACTTCTTTTATTTCGATTACAGTAACGTTTACGCAGCAATTGACGTCGTTCTGCTTCCGACTCTTTTGACAGTGCATCAATATCACCCTTTAATTGACAAAAGATCAAATTAATTGGACAACAAATCTATTTTGGTTCGTTTTGATGAATCATCAATGGTGTGTTATTGGATGTAAGAATTTGCAAGTGGAATAGAGGTGTAGACAAGAGGAGAGATAGAGCATGTCTAACAACAGCAGCAACTACAACTACAACTACGGCTACATTTTTTAAAGGTTTTTTTTTATCATTTCAATGATTGTGACAAACATCAGTATAATGCCAGGGTGAAATCAACTGAAAAATTAATCGAGTGAACCATAACACCGAATTGGCATTTCCATATTCCATTCAATAAATTAGCGATGGTGATCAAACATTTTTTGTTTTGTTTTTGATATGAATCAGATGGTAGAATTGACCATATGCTTCATTGGAATGTTTTATTTTATTCATATGCCATTCTAAATGGGCAATGGAAATGACACTAATTGCCAAAGGTACCGTTTTGTGTATGCGAAACAATCGAATATATTTAAAACATTTATTTCATTAAATATGTATGTATTTCCATTCCATTCCATTGAATAATATGATCGATTGAGAAGAGTTGATGTGGTTCGATTGATTTAACAATATTCCATAAAAACAACAACAGTAAGCATTTTAGGGCACACCATTTCATATTCTCTTATTGAAATGCATTTCAAATGTCATCGTCCCATATTTGATGGGATCTTTTTCAATGCAAGACTTTATGGCTAGCAAGTGTTTCCACATAGCATTTGACAACAAAAGATCTCATAACAATTACCAATGTGTCGACATTGAGTGCTCAATTTTGTTATAATTGTTTTTTGTGCTAAATTTTCCGAATTAATTTTTTATTGAAAAAAAAAATCATATTTTTCACTTATAATCACTCATTTTAAATTTATAAAAAATAAATACCTACATTTTCATAAGAATTAAAAAGAAAAATTGGAACAAAAGAAAACGCGAACTATAATTAATTTTAAATTTTTTTTTTCAATTCGCAGATGTGATTCACGGGAATATGTGTCAAAGCTGGATATTCGCTTATTTATAATTTGTATGAGTATGACCGATGACGCATTGAATTAGATATTTATTATTGATTTGCTTCAAGCATGACATTTATAGAATGCGACACAAAAGCAATGGAAGGACAGCATTATTAAGGAGAGTGAGAATGATCGAATGGATTTTGCAATTCTTATGTAGATGAGAACAATTGAGCAAAATGACATGAAGAGACAGAGATGAAAATGAGATATGAGTGTTTGTGTGTATGTGTGTGCGTTTCTTCGCTATGTTCATGCAGCGATCATCAAAAGAAAAAAAAAACATGCTGCTACAATTCTTGTATCAGGTGGATGCTCATTTTGGGATAAGAATCGTATGGGTTTTTTTTCAATTTTTTTTTCTTAAATTCAGGAATAAACATCAAATCAAATGTCGCTAACTATCATTTGATTAGGCCATTTGGTTCGCTAAATGTAAACTCACCTTTCCTGATAGAAGACCAGCATAAGCAAAGTATGGATTCCACTAAGTATCCATAAGAAATTTTGTTTTATTCATTTCAATTGATATATTTTTGGTTTTTGTTTTTGTTTTTGGTTCGTATATCGAAAAATGCACAAGAAGAGGAATTAAATGTTCCAGTCGGTAGTATTCCAGAAAAAAAACATATATATGATACAATACCATAAAGGGGAGAATTAATAATGAAAGCAAACTAATGAGTATTACAATAATTGTAAAAGAATATTAATGAAAATGCCTAAAAATACGTTCATTTTGATTTGTTTGACACAATTTCTCTTTATATTTTCCAGATTATATTCCATTCAATTGATTTCATCGACTAACATTCAAGTAATGTCACGCACTGTGTAATGCTAAATAAATCGATGGGTATTGAGTGTGACCACCGGAATGGTGCCGGCTTCTGTTCATTCATATACAAGCTGGTTGTAAAATGCTCATTGGACAATTAGTAATTGTTCATATAAAATTTAGATGTGTGAACGGAAATGATGTATTTATGAGTCCCTTATGTGTGACCTAGTAATTCTTGTTTTATATATACAACATGATGTAAACAGTAATAATATTAGGACCGTAGATGAATTAGCCACACACATACACACATGCATACACACACAGACAAAACTTTTAATTTTAATGCTGAAACGGTAATCACATAGGAAGAAAAATCGACAGTTCATCCACGAATGAACATTTATGAGCGGTATGTGATAGTGTGTGACCCCGATTGGCTCGAACTTATCATTTTGTCAAGTGTGTGATGTGAATGAACTATATTATATGATTGTATCAGTTTTTGAGACACATGCTGTTTAAGTCGAACGAATACAAAGGTAACAAGTCAATGATATGGATGAAATGATACAAAAGAAAGAAAGAAAGGAGAAATTGTATTTGAATGGATACGGGCGAAGGGTGAAATTCAATCAAAATCTTACACAATGCTACTGTCTATTTTAATAATGAATTTTTTCAATAATTGTTTGTCATCAAATTAATAGCAATCTTTTCTAATTTCCAAAAAGAAATAAATCAATGATTTTTCAAATGACTACGTTAGAAACCGGGTTGTATGTATGTCAAAATATCATGTGGGTGTAAATTGAACGGAAATAATTCAGGCTATTTGTTTTAGTTTGGTTTGGTTAAATTTAAACTTGAGAGTTGAAAATATTAGACATGTCTCCACTTACCGCTTGCATATGGATGTGACTGTAGTTGCTCCCACGTACAACACGCTTATCGTACATGATATTCTGTGGATGTGACTGTGATTCTCTGTGTTATCGATACGGCGGCAGAGGTCGACAAACCGAAGGACAAAAAAATGTAAAAATTTGGCATTAATTGTTTTAAATCATCGGCTAATTGAATGGATTTCCGCACAAATGAAGCGAAAATTGTAGTGCACACATCGAATTTGGATTGAAATTCGAAAAAGAGGGATAAAATGGTGCTATATATTAAGTTTTTTTTATTTGCATTAGAGCCTTGACTTGAAAATACTCTAAAAACGTGTATTGTGATTGGGATAAATGGAGAGTTGGTCTAAAAATTAGATGGTCAACAATGTGAAAACAATGGACGGATTTGGATTGCCTTCAGCACAGGAACTGCGGAAAAGTACATTCACCTACTCGATGCCATCTTATATGATTTCGCATATATGATCCTTGCCCCGGTTTAAACCAAACAAAACGAAACCAAATCGCTTCATTTGGCCTAAAGTGAATTCCCTTACCGAAAACATGTTCATTTGTCAAAATATCTATTAACTTGGTCAAGCCATTCGAAATGAATACATTCACCTCGTCTAACCGCCCGATAAATCATTTGACCATTAAGAAAATCGGCTATAGACTATGTTATATACACTTAAAATCCGTATCTATATCAATAGCTTCAAAAAAAAAATACTTGAACGTTGCATGAATTAATTGAAACAAAAGACCTCGTACTATTTTAACACTGGAATAATTTAAGTTGTTCGTTTGCAAAAGAAGAAGAAACGAAAAAAAACCAACAACAATGGCTGGAGAGAGAGAGAGAAAAAAAGAACATAAACAAACCATTTTTAACTTCCGATTCATTTTGCACACGGAAACGTACGAGCAGCGAAGTACGCAGACTAAAAAAGACATTTAGCCGGCAAATATTTTTCTCCATCGATTGTATTTAATGAATAGAGTGTAATGGCATACATATATGTTATGCTATTAAGAAAAAAAAAGAGAACTATAGGTATATTGTTTGTGTGCTGTTGGGCCGAATCCGTGTTATTGGCTCATGTGTGCATTATATACCATCGACAAAGTCTATTTGGTTATCGTTGCAGCCAAAAGCGTAAATGTGGTGCCGAGTAACATCACAGCAAATATTGCGACATGCAAAAAAAAACAACCACCACCAGCCGAAGCAGCAGCCAAACCAACAAAATTGTCGAATGCACGCACATGTTGCAATATAGAATAGCAAACAAATTGTTTAAACATATCGTCTGTATGTAAACTACCCGAAAATAGTCATAGGAATGGTTATTAATTTAAACGACAGGAAAATATTTCATTAAAATTAGTTTATGCGACGGTAATTGTACCACACAGTATAGCATAGCACAGCACACATATAGCCGAGCACAGTCGTCGCACAAATGCAAAATTGCATACAATATCACAAGGTATGATTTGGACTCGAAGGGATTTTTGCTGTTATAAAAGAACATCCGCATTACGTTTTATTGCAAAATTTACGATTTTTCATTTTTCAATTCAGCGCGGAGGAAAACCTCAGGCAATTTTACCTTAACACAATCTTAATTAACTACAATCCGAAGCGATGAATGAAACCCATTGCAAAATATTCACCTTCGCACGCTAAAGACGAAAAAAACAAACAAACACACATACACGAGAATCCCTTAAATCAATCTGATAACTGATTTCACTTATGTGTTTTATTGTTTAATTGTTTTCACATGTACAGGAAACTGTGCGGAAGTCCATAATTGCACCACAATTATTCAATATTTTATATTACGTGTCATTAGGTGATCTCAAAAATGGGAATAATTACAACAATTGCCTATTATCCTTCACGCTCTGCAGGGAGACGGAAAGAGACGGACATTTCAAAAGAATTACCGAAAATTATTTCAAAATGTCGAAGTAATTCGCCAATCAAACCAATTCTAGATGCATTAAATGAAAAAAAAAAGATGGAATTCCACATGTGATGTGAATGCTACAAAAATGGTCATGAATAATACAGAGAAAAAGTCAGCAGTAAGAACGTTAATCGAAAAGCTATGAAAGAGTTCTTGTGAATTTTTCCCAAACGAGCCATTTCATGTAGTATTTAGCCATCACTTAAATGATGTGCATGAAACACATGGATCAAAACACACAGCTGTTGGTTCGAGAGTCTTTGTAATAGAAATTTGAGTGTACGTCACGCAAGTGTCGACAGTTGTATGAAATGCATGAGTTTTTCTTATTATTCTTCTTCTTTCATTCGTTCGTTAGTTTTCATTTGAGTGGTGTGGTGACATGGAAAATCGCATTTTGGCAGATGCATTCAATTTAGCGGAATTTTTCCACATAAGTTATGTGAAAGTGCTAAATAATGCACCACCGTAAAGAAATGTGGTGTTCGGCCTTGACAAGTTCTTTTTTCGCGCAAGACATCGTGTACCAGAACGAACATAAACGTTCATTATGTTCGATATTCGACTGATTCACTATACCTGATGAATAATTTGGGTCTCGCTACTTTTTACTTTTCGTGTGGTTCTGTTAATAGCCACTTAACATAGCTGTCAGTGTTGAGTCTTTTGAAATCGATGGTGGTTTACGTAGCGCGAAAATTATTTACTCCATTTTCGGCCTAATTTAAATAAATGCAAATTACATCGACTGTGTTTTTGTGTATGTGTGTGTTTACTTTGTTCTTTGCTTCTTCCTTTTCGTTTGCAATCTCGATTTTCTTTCGATTGTTGTTGTTGTTTCTTCGTTTATAGTTTTCTTTAGCCGCTGTTTCTAGACACTTTTATTGAATGCAATTGCTTGATGGAAGTTCTTCGTTTTATTTACGATTTTAATTAAATATTGAAGCACGAAAACCATTTGCATGCATTCAATGCAATAATTCAGCGTGTAAACACGAATTACGCGTGCGATTTTTTTTCCATCGTTGTCTTGCAACTGATGGATAAATGACATGCAGTTTTAAAATCAACTCAATCATCTTGTTTAAAATGATGAATTTCCTTCGATTGTCTAGGCTTAAATAACGAACGGCGGCAATATATGGGCGATTTGATAATAGCAAATTCAAAAATACAGGACACAAAATGGGTAAATGGATGGATGATTTAATGCGATGATAATTTGTGGTTTTGTTGTTGTAGCACATACCTCGGCTTAATCGCTTTCCCATAAGTGGTCATCGTTTTTAGAGCATGAATCTCTGTGATGGGATTCGCTTTGTCTCCTTTGTTAATGTTTTGGGCAAATATTTTCGGAATACTAAAGTAGGCGTATGTACGTGGATTGCGCACTTTTGATGCGGCTGGTAGATCTTTTGACGGTGGCAAATAGACGCCGGACGGAACAGTGGTAAAAAATCGAGGACGACTCGATGGATCATGTAATCCGGTAGTGTCCTAGTTGTACAAGATGTGTCATAACATGAATGTAAATTCAATTTATTTACATTCAAACAGTTCTCAGAATCAAATTAAATACTAAAACAGAATAAAAGAAGAATAAAAACGAAAAGAGTAGAGAACGGAAAAACAACAACAACAGAAACAAATGGTAACTATGTTTTAATCAAAATCAAAACAAACAGAGAAATGGTCACAGTAAGTGACGCAGATCAATTCAAATTGGATATATGGCCTCTACACGAAATTCAATGTCATCATTGGAATGAGTGTGATTGTATTAATTCTCATTTTCGGTGGAAATGTAAACATTAAGCCACAGCTAATAACGCGGTGTCATAAATAACGTCAAATGGGTTTTGGTTGTTCCATCATGTTGGCCCATCAAAATAGAGCGCATTATATTGTCGTCCATCGCAACAGGATCGTGTTTTTGTTTTGGTGGACGAATGGCAAGCTGTGCTTGAGTCTACTGAGTAGACGATAAACGACGAAATTAGAACTTTGCAAATTCGACACAAATAACCACACACGGTTTGAAATATCGAACCAAGCCAATTCCAAAATGAAGGATATATGATTTTTGTTTCGCTGTTGTTAATTTCATATTTTCGTTGACAGAACGATGTTGGGAGAACAACAACAACATTGACCAAAGGTCCCTATACTGGCAGAATTTTTTTAATGGCAAGGCCAAGGTGACGCACGATAGAAATGAATGAAATTCAAATTCGAATCTATTTATGAGATTATCATAATCATTGCTCGACACAACTAAATATATTCTGCGCAAAAAGAAGAAAAAACACTTGACGCTTGAATTTTTCCATACTTGACGCGCCTACTCATTGAATAATTGAGCAAAGCAAAGAGTTCCCGGATTGTATAGCTATGTAAAGTGCTCTTATAGTATACAAATGGGGGGGAAATTATGTGAAACAACGGCGATTACAACAGTCTCACGTGTCAATACTGCGTTTGCTTTGTATTGGAGCTTTCCAGAGGGTAAAATAAAGGACACGATTTGTTGTGGTTTCACCAATGACTTTGGTCCGATGTAAGCTTTGACATTAAGGTTTTTTTCTCTCTCTCTCTCTCTCTCGCTCATTCTCTCAATCGGTGTGACGCTTTGCGTGCCCAGCAGCGAAAGTTATTAAACACTTTGCTTGCTCACACACACCGCGAGATTTTTATTTTATTTTTCATTACTTTGTACCATTACCAATCAATTTAAGCTCAGGCTTTGGCAGCATGGAGAAAAATTACATGTGTATATCACACGTCATTTGATGAATCAACCAATAATGTGGTATGCAAAACACGGAAACTCGATATTTGAAAGAAAAAAAAAATATTGATTTAAATGTAGCATGATCACCAGTGTTGACACTTGACCGTTGAAATTTACACATCTTTTGACATAAACAAAACAGCCTTATATTTCCGAAAAAGTAGCATTGTGTCAATCATAGCAACTTGTTCGATATGTTTTTAATTAGCTACGCGCGGCATCTAAATAATGAATAATATTCGATAGACAATGGAAAATCGATGGTTTGGATATTCGAGAAAAAAAAACTCTACATAAAACGACTGTCAAATTCAAACCATTGTCATCTGGGTACAAACGTACCCACACATTCATAAAATCACGGATACATACACACAAAATCAAAATGCTATAAATGAAATAAACGAATCAGCCTTAATGATAAAGGAAAACCAAACGGAAATGAATGGGATATAATAAATTTTACATTTTTTGAAGCAGGTTTTTTATCCTTTTGTAAGTGACGAAGCTTATTGTCCAGCTCCTTGGTGAAGGTATCGATTTCTCGTCGCTTATTTTTCGCAGGAACATTAACCTTTGGCGTTGATTGGTTTGAAGCCGGTAAATTGTTGGCTCCGTTTGCCTCTGGCAGTATCATAGTATCAGTGTTGGGTTCATTTCTACGTACTGGTCTTACGATTGCAATTGTATTGGGCTTTCCATAATGGCCGTAGTCGTCCGTGGGATTGTTGCTGGTGATGGGGACAACGGAGAAAATGGCATTGGGACCAGGGCCGAGTGGTGCAGAAGAGATTAGTGGAAATGCAGCGTGCACATTTTTCGATTCAATTGAATGGGGATCGATGATTGTTGTCGCTCGTACTGGTAATACTTCCGATGACACAAATGACATTTTATTCGCTCGATTTTCGATAATTTTTCTATTCAAAAAAAAATCGGCTTTTCTTTTCTCATTAACAATAGGCACATTGCTTGGCCATTTTTAGGCTTCGATTAAAATTCAATGTCCAAAAACGGAAAAAAAATGAAAATAAAAACAAAACGAAACGAAAAATGATTGTGGTTATAAGTATGTTTTCACTCCATTTTCGACAGTTCTTTTTTTCCCGCAATATCAAACAACTAAACGACACATCACACGACTTGAATGTTACACTAAAACGAGGTGCGCAAAAAAATACACGGCATTTTCTTTTCTTTTTTTTTGGAAATGGAAAACTATCTCTCGGATTTTTCGTACCGTTTCACTTGATTGGTGTGACAAGTTGTTTGTCGTTTTTTTTCGTTCGTTCGTTTTAGTTACCGGTGTTACTGTCAAATTTTTGAGCTAAAGACAATATGAACTGTTCATGCAAGTGTCTTACAGCCGAATGACCAGACGCTTTCATTTAAGCGAATATGGCTGGCAGTTGCGGTCAGCTGGAAAAGACACACAAAAACAAAGCTCGAAAATATTCCATGATTTTCATCGCAGTTTCACCACACCACACCACCGTACAAACGATAGACGCGAACAGCAGAGAGAAGAAAAAAAGAAAAACGAAACGAATCGAAATAAAAAAAAACACACATCATCGAGTGTCGTGTATGAGTGTAGTTCACCACCGGTGGAAATATTCGTATTTTCCACGCTAGCACAATAGCAACGGGCAAACGGGTGGGAAAATCGAATGTACGGCAAAACAGCTGCTGTCCATTGTGGAAACCAAAACAAGAAGGGAAAAAACAGTAACGCGCTCTCGCTCGCGCCACTCTAGGCAAAACATAGCCAATTACCTGCAGGGTTGTAAATTTTGGATTTTGGATTTTAAATCGAATTAAATAAATCAAATGTATTGATTGGAATTGAACCGTTTTTCAAATCACAAATCAATTGATTTGGTTAATTTTGTAAAATTCTTCAAATCCAATTAGATGATCAATTCATTTCAAATCTATCAACCCTGATTATCCGACTATATTTCACCCGTGGAAATGTAAATTTTCAATTCTGCCGTGATTGCATTTTTCAAAACCTTTAGCACTTCTATTGATCCACAGCAATGACTGGATGGAAAAATCAACGGTGTGAAAGTTCAAACTATTCACACTCATTTCCATACTGTAAACTAAACGAAAACTAAAAACAAAAGCAAAACTTGCAGCCCAAGTTGTTTCAGTTATAAAAACTTTTACCAACAATTAAATAAAATTGGCATTGAACAATGTTCGGATTGATGATCATTTTCGTGTGCCAAGTGAACAACACCTCAGCAAAACAATAGTTTATTCGTGTTTGGTTTTTTTTTTATTATTTTCCGTCTTTGTGGCGGTTGAAATTGTCGAAGGTTTGCGACAATGATCGATGTCTTATTCAGTATTATGATTTATATGATGACCTCGACGATTTTTTGCTCGCTGGACTCGGTTTCACCCCCTTTTGGTGATGAAATGTGCTTTTATTGCGATTAATTCAGCGTCTCAAGGTTATCGGGAACGGCGTTTTATCCTTTGCTCGGACATTGTTCCATGGGTGTTGTGTGCCTCGGAATGAAAACGCTTCACCTGGTGGAACTAATTTTAATTCACGATTTCATATTGTTGCCGCAGCTGGTCACATGCCAAAATAACACAACCAACTATATAAGTGCGAGTCGCAATATTACGCTTCGATTCGAATGAGTTGATTGCGTAATGACATGCTATATTGAGAGGTAGACTCAGAGTAAGAGTTGAACGTGTCTTCAAAAACACGATGAAAAAGAATCGAAAGCTAGTGATTTGCTGAGGAATTTTTGTGACCTTTTCGCCAGTAGATCAACTGAGATAAGAGCCAAGATTGCCAACGAAATCGTTAAAACGTATATAATTCAAATCAATAAACAATTGTTTGCATTCTACAAAAAAGAATTCTCTACTCACCGAGTAGTACTCATATTATATCGATGATGGCAATTGTCTTTGATGCAAATGACAGCACAAGAAAAAAATATATGAAATGATGTGATTGGAAACTTTTTCTAAATTTTAATCGAGACATAAGGCACTATCGTCTTACATATTTTATACCTCAAATTAATAAAAGATTTCCTTGGAATTTTTTAAAATTTCCATTCTCTATTCTGGTGATATAAAACGGTTTGACTGCAATTTGCGTGAAGCAACGAAAAAATTCATTATTTACGTAGATTTAGAAGAAGCAGGAGCGATAGAGAGAGAAAAACGTAACGGTGAAACAAAACCAGTTAAACGATAGCTGAGATTGGAATCGATTTTCATTATTCACGAATTCGTTGTAAATAAATAAAACGACATGATTTTTAAGCTCGTTTTCCTTTTAGGACGTTGCACGAAAGTCGAACATCTTTTTATTGCAACGAATTTCAGTTAAAACGCCAATTTGAATTAGGAATCAGAAAACGAAATTTTATCAACTTTGTATGAATTGCCAATGGTTTGGCCGCATCAGAAGAGTTGCATTTTATTGACCGCGACTATAGTGTTGATTTGCCGCGCATTGTTTGCCCACTTAAAACGACCGGCGGGTGCTGTCACTCTCTTTCACCAGCCCGCTGTCCAGGCAAAACGGTAAGTTCAACGACGGTCAAATCTATTGAAATCTAAAAATGGTCGCAGAAAAAAAAGCAGCAACAACAAAAGAAAATACACGAAACCATCGTATGAAACATGAAACATGCGATTACTGCATTATGAAGGAACTTTTGGATAAAAAAAAGCGTCAAACAGAATATACATATATACATTATATCGGACTAGAAAATAGATGTAAGAATGAAAAAGCGCCTAAAGGCAATGGCTTGACATGCAAACACAATCGATACTATCGCAATTTCGTGTTAACATTCTAAAACGAAGAAGAAGACGATGACGACGACGACGGCTGAAAAAATGAAAGGATTGTGCAAACATAACGCAGAAATAAGACAAGAAAAACGCATTCCTTCGCACAAACAAAACTTGATTTACGACTAATTAGCATATCGGGCAGGCAATCAATAATAATCTTATACTATAATCACAATACACGTCAACATGAGCGTCGTTATTCGACTCTCTCTCTCTCTCTCTCTCTCTCTCTCTCTCTCTTCTGCCGAAGTCATTCGCGATTGGATTTCTTTTTCTTCGCGCCTCGAAATGAATTCACGTGACTACCTGTTCTCTGCGGCTTCAAACAGCGCCATTATATACAGCATTTAGCCACAACATTTCATTTCGATGTTGGTCAGTGGGCTTTGATTTATTTTCATGTGATAAAAAAAAGTAATAGCAAACGGCAATCGTTTCAATTATTGGTGGTACTTACGGATGATGTTGTGTGGGTGTTATGACGGCAACATTGTTCATTTTGCGATTATTGTATATGGCTTTGGGTGAACTGAGCCACGTATAGAAGCCTTTTTGTGAATGTGATGAATTGAACATCTCTTTGGTTGGTGGCGTATTCCGTGCGTTGGCATGCTGATGCTGCTGCTGCTGCTGCTGCTGCTGCTGCTGATGATGCGACTGCTGTTGCTTTGGCGGCTGATCTACACTATTTGATGTATCCATTCCATTGAAATATGCACGAGTTTTCACTGTCACACCCGGCATCAAAGTATTTCTGAACATTTCATCGCAGGCCTTCATTCTGTTTTTTTCTTTTTCTCTCTCTCTCTCTCTCTCTCTCTTTCTTCTACACTATATTCTAGTTTATAAAACACTAAATAAACCGAATTTTCGGTTTCAGTCGCTATAGCCGATCGATGGGAGTCATTCAAAATTGGTGGAAAAAAAAGGAGCGCGATTTGTGTTTCGCGTGCCAAAAAACAACACGATAATTATACGAAAGGTGAAATTAATTTTAGTATATTTAGATTTTGGCAATGGAAATTGATAAATGGCTCTTGGCAACGTCGATTGAATAGACTAACCCTTTGGTGGGGAGCGCACGGAAATTTTCGGTTTTGAATTTTTGTTTATCAATCACTCGCAATCGATAAAAACGAACTTGTTTTATTTGAAACCAGAAGCCGTTGTCATGGTACTCCAAATTCGCATGCATAGAAATTTGTTTACCATTTTTAACGACGGTGAGCACACATTGTTTCAGTGCTACGGATAAAGCTCACAAAATACCTACGATAGATGGCGCTCAGATTACCATCCCACAAAAGCATTGCCGCTAAAAATGGTTGTGACTCTGAATATGTGCATTGAATACGAATTGCTAAGCCACCTGATGAGAGAATTTTCAACCCAATTCTGATACTAACTTTGTCTTCGCTAAAATCAAATGAATTCATTTGTAAGTGGAATTCAAAGGACTCACCTCTTTAACGGCTCCTATCACTTTTCATTTCATAAACGGCGTCCAATTCTTTTTAATCAAATGCATCATTATAAATCAAGAGTGAAGACGCGTGACTTATTGATTTCGTTTGAATACGCTTACCGCATAGACACGCGACAAATGGTTACATTGACAAAGACGCAAAGGGAACTACATCTCTTTATTTTTGTTCTTAAAAATAAATGGACGTTGATGACGACGATGACAACGAAATGAAACATTCAATAACAAAAGACGAAAACACGTGTTAAATCTCTAAATCGCATTTAATTTGATGTTCGAAACGGTAGCATTTTTTTTCGTATCGCAACAGCATTCCTCGTGACTGTTCAGTTGATATATTTTCGTTTTATTCCATCAATCAGAGCTTATGCATTACACATAAATATTTCATTTAGTTTCTTGTCAATTTGAATCGATTTAATACAGTCGCATCCATCAAGATGTGCCGAACCACTTGGTTCTTGGTAGCGAATGTTTTTTTTCTTTCGTTTCTGTGTAAATTCACATCGATAAAATCGAACTGAGGAGCTATGTTTTGTATATGAAATACCAAATAGGCATACACACAGGACTGATCAATAATTAATGCGACGAAATGTCGATCAAATCAACAGCTTCCAGTGAATATCGTTTCGATCAAAATGTACACTAAATTCATTCAAACGGAGTCAACCGTTTGTCGTGGATTTGTTTCAGTTTTTCCTTTTTTCCTCACCTCTCTCTCTCTCTCTCTCGTTCTCCTTCACTCGCGCTCCATTCGTACCGCGTCTCCGTCTGCTTACTTTAAAATTCTTATTTTGGTAAAATTGTTTTACATATCATTTCATAGATTCGATTATATTGATTCGGAGCTCGTGTATATAAAATCATTCATTCGTTCGTCAGTCGGATAATTTATTTATTAAAATCTCGGCTTGCGCCTACTGTGTTCTCTCTGTCTCTCTCCTGTGTGTTTTTTTCTTTTGTTATCCCTCGATCGATGAATAATTCAGTGTGAATTTGTAAAACAACTTGGAATCTGCTTAATTCCTTATTTTACTACCGAAA